TCACGTCATCTGCAAATAGAGACAATTTGACTTCCTCCTTTCCTAATTGAATACGCTTTATTTCTTTTTCTAGCCCGATTGCTCTGGCTAGAACTTCCAATATTATATTGAATAGGAGTCGTGAGAGGGGGCATCCTTGCCTAGTGCCAGATTTCAAAGGGAATGCTTCCAGTTTTTGCCCATTCAGTATGATATTTGCAGTGGGTTTGTCATAAATAGCTTTTATTATTTTGAGTTACGTTCCGTCAATATCTCTTATTCCAGATATAAAGGCCCATGAGCTCAAAGGATTTTCACATTATCTTAGTTTCATATAAGTTTAGCAGATAAGAAAATGATATCCAATGAAATCCATATATCTTTCTTGACTCTGTATAATTATTGAGTCACAATCACCAATGTCATTCTGTGGACATTGTGCTTTCTCTAAGCTCTTGAACTTCTTGCTTCTCTTGTCTGAAAATAATGTCAACAAGCTGTATTTTCTTCACTACAAAGTAAAAATATTGTGCAACTCACAAGTTTGTTGTGAGGACTTACTTGGGTAGTATTTCTAAAATTTATTTGTAATAAAATGAGTGTTGCTGTTTTTCTTTAAACTACGACTAATAGTTGTAATAGTTCAACTAACAGTGTAATAGTAGTTGCTGAATGAATGGGGCAAACAGTTTTTTTTAAGCTGTGGTTCTTTATAAAAACCACCCCTTATTGAGTTTTCATTTTAGGCCAACCACTGCAATAGGGACTTCATATTATCTAGCAATGCCATGTCATAGATAATATAGGTTGGTGCAAAAGTAAGTGTGGTTTTGCCATTACTTTTGCACCAACTTAATTGTAATTTTTACTTCAGAACTAGAACTTTCAAAGCTTAAGTGATATGCCCATAGTTATGATGCTAATATTGGTGGAAACAGAATTTAAATAGGATCTGAAGAACTACAAGGATGGCTTTTTTTATATGAGCAATGGCTATATATAAGGAGTCCTATATGCTAAGTGCTGTAGGCAACCAAAATGTCTTCATTGATTGGTCTAGATGGTAGCAACCCAGTCTTGTCACAGAGGTGATCCATTACAGGTAGTGCTCGACTTACGACCACGGTCGGGACCGAGGACCGTTCATAACACGATTTGGTCATAAGTTGAGAAGGCTATATGTACAGTTGAAATGGTGCACGCGCAGATGGTAGTGCTGCCGGAAGCTGGTCCGCACTGTCGTACGCCCAGCTGGGCAAAGTTTGCGCTGCCAGACGCGGAGCAGTCGTGGCTAGCGACTGTGGTTGTAAAGTCCAATGGTCGTAAGTTGCATAGGTGGTAAGTCGATCAATACCTGTATTTCTTTCATTATACTTTTCTTAAACCTCCTTTTATTGTTCAGTTAGTTTGTTTGTTTTGCTGCTTTTTTTCTTTGCATGACATATATTACTAACTACATAGTAAGTAGTGCCCAGACAATGTTTCACATTGTTTGGGTCTCCTTGATGACAGGCAACATCACTCAATACACAGGGTAGAAGCCAAGGAAGTAGTTGCTGAATGAAAGGGGAAAACAGTTTTTTTTTTTTTTTTTTTTTTTTTTTTTTTTTTTTTTAAGGACATAGGGTTATGTTATTTAGTACTTCTAGCAGAAGAGATATTTTATGAGAAAAGACCATGAACCCTTACTTATAATTTCCAGTTCTGTACTATAGGAGGCATTTTTCAGTTCTATACTTTAGGCATTAGTTCTGCAATACTCTAAGTATTTGCACACTATTTATTCAAGCCTTTCAATACCCACAAAGATAGGCTGGATTACCACCATTTATTATTGTTATTGAGACACTTAAGAAGTCAAGGGATTTGTCAAAGGATAAAGATCAAGGAGGAGTCAGGGCCAGACTGTGGAGGGTATCTGATTTCACTAATAAACTAAGAGACTTTCTCCTGATCATGAAGTGAGTACTGAATGCTGCTTAGTGTTGAAATTATGTCCTACCTAAATGCTGAGCATTCTTATTAGAACCCTTTAACAAAGTACTTGTATTCCTCAACTGAGTTGATTTAAATGTAGTACCACCCTATTGAATCAGCCACATAAGAAAATGTAAAATGTGCCAAATTGGTCTCTATGCCCTCTTACCCCACCCATGTTTTGTACCCACCGTTTGCACTCAAAGCACCTGTCACCCAGTGGATCCTCAGAATTTTCCAGTGATGCCATTCCCATCCTTCTTAAACAGGTCTAAAGCGGAACTTTACAGATATCTCATTCACAATGCAGTTAAAATTGAACACATTGTCTTCCTAACTGCCCCAAATGAGCCTTGTTTTTTCTCTCTTTCATCCACTATCTCATTTAATACCTGACAATCCATTCATTTGCTTAAGCTAGATGGTCATTTATAGACTTCCCCTTCCCTCAATCTCCTACATCTCTAATCAATCACCAAATTTTGTTGACTACCTCCTACCTCCTACCATCTTCAGAATATGTTCATTTTTCTTCATTCTCATTGTTAGGATCATAGTTCAGTCACTATCATTTTTTTTTTTTTTTTACTTTGGATTGATAAAAATGCACCTCATATATTTCTCTGTCTTGGGTCATAAACTATGAGTTCTCCACATTGCAGGCAAAAATATTCTTTAAAAGGCAAATGTGTTCTAATTGATCCCTTTTAAAAAAATGTCACTATTTCTAGAAATTTGGGGACAAAATATTCTTATCTGGCTCTTATTCCCTTTCAAGCCTCATATTTCACTATTCACCTCTTCCTTCAAACTACTAATCAGCCACAATTCACCATGCTTTCTCTTGCTTTGTTGCATGAGCCATGCTCTGCTGAGAAAATATTTCTAATGCCTTATTTACTGGTTCCTTTCTACTCATCCTTCAAGTCTCAGCTAAGTCTTCACTTGCTAATGAAATCTTTGTTGATGAGTACAAGTGTAATCTATAGCAAGGTCTTACGAACTATCTAAATAGTCTTATGGCAAAATTAACAACTCCCTTATTTATGTCCCCATTACAATTGTGTACTTCTCTGTATTCATCCTAATCATTGTATTGATACCCACATTCTGACTTTGGGACGGAAATCTGCAACATAGTAGGCATTCATAGAATGTTTGTTCATTTGTACTATTAAACTCACTCATCATATTTATTATTCATTTAATGTATTAGACTTCCGATAACTGAAACACAAGTTTTTAATAGGCCCACCCTATATCAGAAATTAAATTTGTAAAGCAAAAAATAAGAAAATAATAAATCATGCTAACTAAAAGCAGAACAGTATGCTTATATGAGTTTAAACAGCATGAGAACTTAATAAGATTAATGTAGAAAGGCTTTAAATAAAATTGTGCTAAATGAATGGAGGAATAGTTAATGAAAAACATATTTATAAAATTATTATATGACATAATGCTATATATTTAAATTATCTTTTATTTCTAGCTCCTTTTAGAACACAGCTGAGTATTCCATTGGATGACATTTTGGATCAATTTGATTAATTTAAACAAGTGGGAATCTAAAATTTAGATAAAAATATAAATATTAAAAATAATACAGAAAGAGTTATAAAACAATACAGTTGGTACAAGTGAGGGAATGTAAAGTGCTTGGTCAGAATAGAAATTTTGATTTTGATTTTGTGGCATGTGTCTGTCACTGTATCTTTCTGAAAAACAATAGAAAGCTAATGTTAACATCAATATTGTATGGGAGACTTCTCATAGGTAAGGTAGGTTTCAGCATTGTTTTCACTAGTTAAGTAATAAGGTTGTTTTGTCTGTCTGTTTTTGGCTTTTGTTTTGTTTTTGCCATACAACAAACTTTCACTCAATATTGGTGACACATTTTATTTACATGCCCTGAAACCTTCACAAATGTCTCAGTTTTATATCAGTAATTCATGATTTTTTATTCTTCAATTTTATTACCTAAATTTACTCTTCTAAGCATCATTTTATGTTTCCAGTTAAATATAAGTGAAAATTGATTGGGGTATTTCTCAATGGAATTTTATCTTTATTTCATCATAATTGCTTCATATTTGAATAATGACAGATGAACTGCCTCATTCAATTGCAGTTTTAAGGCTTTGAAGTCACAATAACAGCACTGGATTTAAATCCTCAAGCCATTATTATAGCAGAAAAGACATTGGGGAAAATGAAAACTTATGGTGCTATAATTTGCTGAGGGGGAAAAGACTCCAATGGTTAGAACATATTATTTCCTAGACAATTTCTAATATAGGACACTATGGCACAAGAGTGAACTGGACAGTTACATCGTGGGCCCACCTTCCTAAATTACTTCTAGAGCGACATTTCATAAATATTGAGCCAAGATTCACATCAAAAGTAAATGGCACCACAATTACTTTTTTCAGGTTGAAGCATTATCTCAGTGGCATTTATAATTCTATTCAGCAACAATTCAGTATTTCACTAATAGAGTCTTCATCAGATCTTTTTCTTTTTTCTGACATTTACATCAAGCGCTGAGTACTTGTTAATACTCTAAGGTATGCATTTCAAAGGTCTCTTTGTCTTCATATTCAGTTTTAAGTAATGAATCAAACAATATGCAAAGGCTAAAAGTAAAACACAGATCCCACTTTCAAAATTTCATTAAATATAGCTGATACATTTGGTGGTGGTTGCTTTATACATACAGCACTTCTATTTATTAAGACATTGTATTTCTACAAATATGTCATTAAAAGTTTTCCAAGATCTCAGTATACAGTGGCATGAAATACAAAGTAAATAGAACCAATAAAAAGATGAACAGCACACTTAGTAAAATTCAGAGCATGCAAAGTTACAACATAAGATGGAATATTTATGAAGAATTAAAGGGGATAACATGAACTTGAAAATGGCTTCCATTTGAAATTATAGAAAGGCTGCTTTTAATGGAAAATTTCTCTTGTTCATATATCAAAGCACATTGAGACTCCAAATAGGTCAATAACTTTTTTAAGAATAAAATTATAAAGAATGAAATTAGTTATATAGATAATATAAAATTATATATTTTTTACTAATAGAGTTTTCTAAAGATAGAAAGCCCTGTAAATATCAATTTCCAATCCAATAGCATCGTTCAATATTTCTGCTCTATTGGATCATAGCCCACTGTGAATGAAACACCCTATAATGTGGGGAAATTTCTCTTAATTGCCTATATTACAATCTTTTTGCTACAACTCAGCTTAAACTCAAAATTGTGCTTGTTTACATTTTAATGCTGTTTTAATACTCAGATGTCCTACTTCATTTGGGCTCTAGAGGAGACATGAGATTATTTGAGGAATCAATATATGCACCCAGTCAAATTCTACATACTTTAACAAACTATTTAAGAGACCACCAAGGTTTTTGAATCTTGAAGATGAATCTACAACTTAAGAAAAAAATTATTTTTTAAGATACCATAACAAAACCATATACATATGAGTTTGACTGTTAGTTATTTTCAGAAGGTATACTTATATTTCATGTTATTTCCTCTCCATCTTGTCCTTTGTCAAGTTTTAGATTCTTGCTTTAATTGAGGAGAGCTTTGTTTGGTAGATTTTATCTTTGAATTTAATTTGGTCAAGATTCATCAAGTTGATTAATTTCAGATTGTATGTCTTAATTTACTTTGTTTCTAATTTCCATTTGCCAACTTCTCTCTCTTGAGGTTTTTTATTTAAATAAAAGGATCAGGGACTTAGGAGTAGAAGTTGGCAGCAACTGATGTGGTCTACAGACAAGCAAGAAGGAAAATGAAAAACTATATGGAAATATATAAAATTCCATTGCTCCTCTGTGTCCAAATGGACGAGATGATGTGTGGTATTACAGAACTAGGAAAATAATGCTCCTTTTCCCCACTCACCTCCTAAATCAACTTTGAACAGTGGTAGAGCCCAGAGCAGAAGTACAAATAGAGACACTTATACCATATTATGAAATAGCTAAAAGTTGTAAAACATATTGTTAAGCAACTATTAAATAAAACATGGTTCTAGCTTCCCACCCTGACATACATTCCCTTATAATGACCTGGAAAACTGATTCAAAGTTAGAATTTTTATGCTCTTTAGAGTCCACCCTGAAACGAGGGTGCAGGAGAACAGAGCCGCCTGCCCCTGGTTCTCAGTTTAAGTCCTGGTTTCTTTCCCACGTTGTGCTCCATCCCACAGCTCAAGGGCCTCATTAATATCTATGTCCAAGCTTTATCCAACCCTTACCCCAAAACAGCTCTTCTGTTGTCAAACCTGGGGCCTAGTGGTACACACAACCTTGCAGTAAAGGAAAGAACTTTACTAAGATCTGAAAACAGGCTCAAGTCTTTTTGGAAAGGAAGTTTCCAAATCTTCAGTACCTGTACGTGTCTAAGAAGACAGAGACATGGATTTCAGCTAGGCACATGTCCCTGGTCCTGAGGACTCCTTACTCTATAGGAAGGAGAATGACTGGAAGAGAACCAGAGCAAAGCCTAAAATATATAGATCTCATCTCAAGGCAGGTACTCCACTTGGCTTAGTTTTATGTTAGAGAAGAAGCAACCCAAGGTCATTCATATTAACATGTGAATGGCCAATAGTACTAATTCTTCAGTAGGGTTGAAATGATCCCCTACTGAAATCAATGAGGTCACCAATCTCGCATTTTAAAAGTCCAATTTGTATTGTAGCAGTTGGAAACTTGGAAGGTAGAAAGTGGCAACTCTGTTGTCAGGTGGGTCAGCAAAAGCCTTCATAGTTTATAATATAGTTGAAATACTATTGAAAAGAAAAAGAGAGGTGGCACAAATCTTGCCACACTAGTTAATTAAATTACATACAGAAATATTAAAGGAAAGAAAATCCAGATATTATTTAGTTTTCTGTAACTCTTCATAAAATTTGAAATCTCTCAATGTCAACTTTTCATCATGACTTTATTTGCTAATATCCTGGGACCGTTTATATCAGAGTCTCCTTAACTCAAGAAGCATTGTAATATAAGAAGGGAGCTTGGAGAGCAAGCTGCTGGCCCTCTATTGTTTTGACAGTGTAAATCTGGGGCATAGCCTGCTGGTGGGACTGACACCAAGCCAGATGGGTACAAGGCTATAGTTGTTGTTTATGGACAATATCGCTTCATGATCAATGTCTATGCCTTACCAGCATTTAAGTATTTTGTATATCACCCTTATTCATTGGATTTGCTCAGTGCTTTTGGATCTAAATGAAATAAATAAATTACCTGAAACATAATCTCAAGTAAGCTGTACACAAGAAAATGGTAAATATATTTTAAATATAGAAAACATTGCAATAAGTTAAGCTCAGATATAAAAAGAATGGGCTAACTTTCATCTTTTGGAGAGGGTGGGCAGAGGGCAAGCACCGGAAGCATGACTCAGGAGACAGTGTGTTCTACATTTCCAGTATTTTCTCTGCCTAGGTCTCTTCATATATGACTGATGGACGTAACCAAGTCTCCAACTAACTATAGAACCATGTAAGTGTGATATTTCTGAATTTACAACTTCCCTACAAGGAGTACCAGGCAGCCACGAAAGGCAGAATGATCCCCGTCTCTATTTAAGCTGATGTGAACAAGTGCCACAAGATGGCGCCAAACCACAGATGAAACTGACGCCAATTTGAATTCTTTGGGTGGATGGGTCTCCAAGAACTTTCAGCAGGCTAGATGACCGGATAGCACCTGCCATTTCATTAGCCTTGAATAATACAGTTTTAGGTTTTGCATGATTTTTTTTTATTAGTGGGTCTCATTTATCTTCTCTTAGAGGCATTTTATTATACAAATAAAACAAGAGAGAGAGGAGATAGAGACACCAATCAGTAAAACCAAATAGAAACATTTACATAATAAGATGTGGAAGGAATGTAGCAAGTTTGTTTGGACAGCCAAATGTTTACTATCGAGAAGGATGCCTATGTGCAATTCTACAAACTAGAGAAGGGCTCAGCACCGAAAATGCTATCAGTATTGGCAGCATTTCCTTACTCTGTGACATGGCTTTGTATTGGCCAATATCTCAAGAAGTACCTCCCTAAATTAAGTGAAATAATAAAAGCAGCCACAATCCATCCACCAAAATGATATTTGTTAACAAACATAGTATAACAAATTTTATAACAAAGTAGATGGCTCTACTTTGATTTAAGAATAAAGAATGAGCACTTTGGAATAACATGATTTTAAACTGGACCTTGGCTTATGTGTGTGTGTGTATATATACATGAATCTACATATATATACATATATATATATGTATATATGCTATTATATACACTTACATGTAAACTCTAGACACACAGAGCTATTTTTTCATTAATAATGTAGGCTTTACCTGTCTATAGTTGAAGGTAGAGTATCTCAGTAGATTTTGTATCATCCCGGATATTATGATCTGTAAAGCAAAAAATAAATCATATTAATCACCTAAAATTAATACAACTTAATAATATAATCTTTACCTAAGTTTTCATTTTGGAGTCCAGGAACAGTGGCTTATCCAATAACTATATTCTTCTTCTTTCTATGTTATGGAATCCCAATTTTCTTTTTGGCTGTCAGTGTGACCAGCTAAAAGATCACATTTACAAACTTTGTTTTCCTGGCCAATAGTGGTCTATAAGATAAAAGTAAAATTATTAAGTGGAATAATTAAGACAGTACTGTTTTGCTCTTTTGCCTTTTATGCCACAAGGAACTCAGACATGAAGGCAGGAGCTAAGGCAGCTGTCTTGGCATCAAAGATAAAAGAGTCATAAATACCTGGACCCTTGCTATTCTAAGGTACTGAAGCAGTGCCAGAAACCACCTAGTTTTACATTTATCATTATGTAAGAAAAATAAACCCTTAGGTGTCTAAGCCACTAATATTTTGCGTTTTCTTTTATAAGTAACTGAATATAATCCTAACTAACACAGAGAATAAATATCAATCATCTTTATATGATTGTCTTAAACATATAGTGCTCTAAAACTAGATGCCCCTAAGTGTTTATTGAAGTGACTTGAACTAATATTTTGCATAGCTTTTTACAGCTATAATGTTTCTAACTCAGTTTATAAGTAATGCTTATTTGAGTTCTGCAAAAATACAGTTAATTCAGTTATTATTTATTAGGCATTTACTAAATGCCAGGCACTAAAGAAGATACTGGAGATAGGTCTTGTAGATAATACAAAAACTTACTTGATCTACTGGGGGTTCACATTCTTGAAGAGGAAATGAAATGAATAAGTAGAAAAATAAATTTAAAAATTTAGTCCCATGAAAAAGAAACAGAGAGACAAGGTAGAAAACATGGAATAAGGTGTGATGTTATACAGATAAGTTGAACAGTCAGAATTTCAAGCTGAAATTTGCAGAAACTAGCTATGGAAAACATAGGAGCTGGGCATGAGGATAGGGTGCAGAGTCTCTGAAGCAAAGTAGACAGCTAAAGCAAAGTCCTCCTGGTGGGGAGAACTTGGCATATCTGAATAACTCAAAGAAGAGATAGCGTGGGGATAGAGCAACACACAAAGGAGTGAACGCCTAATGTGTTGTAAATGCTCAAGATATATTTGTAGAATAAGCAAGCATGACTACTGCAAAATAATTATGTTGATATAATTTATCAATAATAATTAGGACAGAAATTCAAAAAAAATCATATGCTTAAATACCTCAATTTTTGTCTATAACTTATATTTTCTTTTTCTCTTCTTTTTCTTTCTTTTCTTTTTGAGATAGAGTTTCACTCTGTCACTCAGGCTTGAGTGCAGTGGCATGATTACAGTTCACTTTAGCTCGAGTGATTCTCCCACTTCACCATCCTGAGTAGCTGGAATTACAGGCATGCACAACCATGCCCCGCCAATTTTTTAAAATTTTTGTAGAGATGAGGTCTCACTATGTTGCTCAGGCTGGTCTCAAACTCCTGGGTTTAAGCAATCTTCCCTACTTTGCCTCACAAAGTGCTAGGAATACAAGCATGAGCCAATCCACTCAGCCTGTAACATATGTTTTGTGGCAATATTCTCATTGTAAACCAAAATATAATAACTGGATAACAGCAGAAGAGCACATTGTAACGCTGATAGATTCTTAAACTTGTAATATTTTTCAGGGCTCAATTAACTTTTTGAGTATTGTTCAACTTAATTCATTTATTGGAATGTTCATAAAACTTACCCAAATCTCTAAATGAAGTTGAAAGGCACAAGAGTGACAGTGGTAACCAGGTCTGTTGCCTACATTGGCTTCTCTCTGTTCTGTAGATGGCCATGTCCATCAGATACTAGAAAAGTTCTAGTGAAGTTTATTGAAATTGATGGGGAAACTTTCTAGAGGACTCAAACTCCTTTATTCGAAAGTATCTTCTTATATTTCATCAGGACACATACAGAATATAGTTTTCTAAATATTTACATAATATAGTATCTCAGGTTAAAAAATGGAAAAAATCTTCAAAATAAAGTTATTTATATGTCACTTTGGTGAATATTTTATATGCAGGTTTTAAATTATCTTAAAGTTTACCTTCAAATGTGTATAAACTTGAAGAAAAAATATTTACGATTACATCTTTGCTTTGGAAGAAACAAAATAATTTGTTCAATTTCCATAGCTGAATGACTATAACTGAATTTGAGAGAGGGAGTTGTTAATGCTTCATATTTTCAGTCTGATTAACGTGTAGTTGTTAAACTCTTCAGATTACTTTTGAGTGTACAAGAAAATTAGCATATTATACTCTAACCTTCTCATTGCTACCACTATTTCAAAATGGGTTAGCATACATTGAGATAAATTTGCATGGCCTAGAATTTTTTAAATGAAATTTTTCTGTGCCCCATGACTAAAAATTTTGATTCAATAGATCATTGACATTAAAATTTATGTGTGTGTTTAGATATATATATGTATACACACATACACATGTATAAATATATTTATGTGTGCGTGTGTGTGTGTGTGTGTGTGTGTGTGTGTATAAAAAAGTCATAGTCATTATGGTGCAGGAATTTTGATCAGATTTTGAGAAAAATAAAAACAAGCAAACATTGCCCTCAATCTTCTGGTTAGCCAATAAATGTTTTACAATGAGTTAACCATACTAAGAAGATAGTATTGTTTCCCAAGAGCCACAACAGATATTTTCTTTATTGTAAAGAAGGATAAATACATGTTTTCAGTTTACATTATCAAGCATATTTTAGAGAGTAAAAATGTAACCCAGCTGAAGAATCATTATAGGATTTTTTTTGAAGTGGAAACTTCCCCCCTGCCCCCAGCTGTCTACAGAAATAGATTATTTCTCCTAATTTTCTGATTTAGTTATAGTCATAGTGTACATAAAAACAGATTTTATTTTCTTGGAATCAAACATAAAATGAAAGCCAAGGCCTTATCGTTGAAACAAGACAGCAGTTTTGCAAAGCTGTGTACATCCTTTGAACTCAGATGACATTGTCTCTGAGGAAAAGATGTTTGATGAGTTTTTTACACTTTAAAGCTCTTGCTAAGGAAAATGAGCTGGGAATCTCCTTTGGTAGAATTGAAGGGGGGTGGATCATTTCGTCTTCAAAAGATGAGGGGAAAAGTGTCATTTTCTATTTCCCTTAAGTATCATTCTTTCAAATACTTGTGTGACAAGAGGTTCAACAGGCTTAGATTTGGGTTTTTAGTTTTCCAGAAATGCATGGAGGACTTAAATGGCCCTGTACATCAAAAGGAAGAGAGAGAGAAAAAAAATCCCCTAGAAAGAAGGAAATGGTGTGGAAAACCCTTCTTGAAAAATATAGTTCATAAAATTGCTATAATCAATTCTACATCCTACAATTTAAAAGGAAATTAACAATTGGAACCCAACACTGAATTAACTAACATTATGTACATCTAATTTAAGTTGTCAGTGATAAACTCAGGGAGAAATGCTCTTTAGAGATAGAAACTGTTAAATGTATTAGTTTATTCCACATATACTGATTATGTGCCAAGTCCTATATGGGATGTTGTATTTATATATTGAGGTTGAGGTCAGGTAGAGTAAAATAAGAATAAAAAATAAGGCAATATAAAATAAAGATATAAACAAAGAATGAAATGACCAGTGATTGAAGTGATGAAATGTACAAAGGAGAAAAGTCACAATTGGAAGGATTGAATACATTGATAGCCTCAAGGGGTTCGGGATTTTGCCCTATGTACAAACCAGCAAGGAAGTCTGCCGAAGTTTTAACGATGGTGGAGGAAGACAGGAGAGTCCTGGGTCAGATACAAAGGACTTTACTCACAGCACAGCAGGCAGCATGTGATTCATGTTCACATCAATTTCCCTTGCCCCTCAGGTCCCAGGGAAGCAATGTGGGCATGGGCTCAAGTGATAGTGAGGTTTCCATCACAGCTGAGAAAACCTGAAATTAGAAAACCCCAATCATGCATAAAGAAAAACCTGTCCAATCAACTTTTGCAGCAAAGATAGACATGATTTTTATTTTTAAAATTAATTAATTATTTAATTCTTACTTTTAACTTATTATCGTTACTATTATTTTGAGACAGAGTTTCACTCTGTCGCCCAGGCTGGAGTGCAGTGGTGTGATCTCAGCTCACTGTTACCTCTGCCTCCCGGTTTCAAGTGATTCTCCTGCCTCAGCCTCCCAAGTAGCTGGAACTATAGGCACATGCCACCATGCCCAGCTAATTTTTATATTTTTAGTAGAGACAGGGTTTCACCATCTTGGCCAGTCTGGTTGTGAACTCCTGACCTCGTGATCCACCCATCTTCGCCTCCCAAAGTGCTGGAATAACAAGGGTGAGCCACCATATCCAGCCAACGTGATCTTTATTATTCTCAGCAGTGAATAAGTCTCCTCTTTGCTCCAAAGAAAGACACTATATGTTCCAATGCTTTTTCTAGCACAAAGCCCTTGAAGAGATATTCCAGAGAAAGTGATTATGGCCTCTAGCCCATAAATGACCAGAAATGCAAGAAACCCATGGAAGATTAACTGTCAACACTATGTAGAAGGTGCAGCATCTTTTACTAGCATTCCTGCAACACTGTGCCACTTTATATCATCACAGTCCTTTTTATTAGACCAAAATATTACTGTACAAATCATTCTTTCATGTAATCTTTTTAAAACTGCTTATTTGAGTCCTTCCTGAGCAAAGCAAGCAGGCATAGCTTGGTCAGTTTGTAAGGTACAAACGTGTATAAGACCCATGACAAACCCATAAAGATATTGCTTTAAGGAAACATTTTTAGGTATTTTTTTTTTTTGCCATACTTGTTTTAAAAGTGATTTTTCAGGATTCTCATTAATTCATTTTTGTTTATTTTTGTTGTTGCTTCTGTATTAGATGAAAATATATCATTGTGTTTGCCAAGCCTAGCAGGTTGCTATTTATATTTTCTTCATGTCCTAATCATTCTCAGTTCTAGTGATGAACAAAAAGAAAGCTGGTTAGCCTTATTATTACGTTCTTTCAAAGAGGTCCTAACATTATATTTGAATCTAACCAGACAGAAATGCTTCTATTGTGCTTCCTTTTGAAACTCATTAGTGATAAATTGTAATATAAAACCTTAAAATAACCCAAACTCCATTTCTGGGAGCTATGTGGCCCCTGTGTATGTATATGTGCATGCTATAGTTTAGAATATAACTTTTTCATGAAGAAAAGACGTTTGACAAAATTCAGCATCATTTCCTGATAGAAACTCTCAACAAATTAGGCACAGAAAAAATGTATCTTTCCTTAACAAAAACCATACACAGAAAGCCATGGCTAACATCACACTCAACTGTGAAAAATGGGAAGCTGTTCCTGTAAGATCAGAACCAAGAAAAGGATGCCCTCTCGGGCCACTTCTATTCAACACAGCAGTGGAAGTCCTAGCTTAGAAGGCATCCAAATGAAGAAGAGAGAAGCTAAATATTCTGTTTACAGATGACATATCTTCTATATAGAAAACTCTGAAGACTTCACCAAAAAACTGTTAGAACTAATAAATTCAATAAATATGCAGGATACAAATCAACCCACAAAAATCAGCAGCATTTCTAAATACAATAAACTATCCAAAACAGAAATCAATAATTCCATCAAAAAGCCACTAAAGGCCGGGC